CTGGTATGCTCTGCTTGCAGCTAGGGTCCAACTGATATCAACAATGATATCTCTGGTGTCATGGTCTCTTCTAAATCTAGTTTGAACTTCTGCAAGTTCTCTATGTACTGTGCTAGCTGTTATTGAATGATCTTCAGCAGTATTATGCTTGCAGTAATATCAATGATATTGTTCACTAAATTCCACATTCTGTTGAATCATCTTTCTTGGGAATGGGAACAAATGTGACTCTCTTCCAGTCAGATGGTCAAGCAGCTAGCCTTCAAATTTTTTGGCATAGATTGGTGGGCATATTCAAGGCAATGTCTGTCCTATTGATTCCTGGGGCCTTATTTTTTGCCAGTGCTTTCAGTGCAGGTTGAACTTCTCCCTTCATTACCATTGGCTCTTGATCATTTGGTACTTCCTGAAATATTTCAGTGTTGGTCAATTATTTTTTACTAAGTGATTCTGTATATTCCCTCCATCTTCTTTTGATGCTTCCTAAATCGTTCAAAATTTTGCCCATACCATCTTTCAGTAGTGACTTTCTACATTTCAAAGCCAGATATTTGGAATGACCTCCCTAGTACCCCTAGAGATCCCTAGAGTATGGTGCAGGACAGAACAAGGTTCATATCAGTTGTTCAGAGGCTAGCTATGAGTCGTAGTCAACTTGACGGCACCCAACAACTACAGCTTCCCTAACATAACTTCTCATCCTTTGTTATCCCAAGAATATTCCACATTTCCTGGTGTTAGAAGTTGTGTAGGGTAACCGTTCCTCCAGTTCCAGAGGTGAGCTTTGATGGGCCTCAGGCAGTTGGCATATCCAAACTCTCAGACCACACTGATGGAGTCAAGCTGAGCACTCCAGACCTTTGTTAGAGATGTCAGAAAAGCAGACTATCTCTTAGCCTGCAGCTCTTGAATGAGGAAGTAGTAGCCCTAGTGCTGTTGGCATCTATGGGCAGATGACAAGAGAAGAACCTGCTAAAGATGATGTTAAACCTGAGATCCCGATTCCATTAACGGAAGAAAAGCAGCCTAGTTTTTGGTAATGTCATTTAAACTGATGGAGCAAGTTATGTCTAAAGCCAAGTGTAGCTAGATGGCTTATTTCAAGCACTTCATGTGACTGAGTTTTCTATTATTTGCAACCAAGAACATTTCAACTACCATTAAAACTTAGAGATATGGGGAACTCTGGTGACCTAGTGGCAAGAAGCTGCACTGCAATCCCAGAAGTGCACAGTTCAAATCTACCAGATGCTCTGCTGGAGGAGGGACAATCTTCTCCTGTACCAGTCAGATCTGATTTGACAGTACACACACACACACACACACACACACACACACACAGAGGAATTAAAAAAAAAACAAAACAAAACCTTAGAGATATATTCTTAAGTTATTATCAAACAGATGACATAAGGAATAACATCTTAACTGGGCCTAATTAATAATTTTGACACTAAGTTAATTCTAGTATGGCAAACAATAGACAATGAAGTTGTGGCTATATACTTTAATAATCATTGGAGAGTGTTAATTTTAAAACAAAATCCTGTAATCTGACAAAAATGTACTGTATCCAGTGATATAGGAGAGATTTCAAATTACTATATAACAGCTAGAGTTAAAAAACAGTATATGATGAAAAATATGGATTCCACAAGTGATATGCTAATGATCTTGGCATGAGGATCTCAAATTAAGCCCTCAGAGAATTGTTTGTATTTCAAAGAGAAGAGTTTAGTAATCTCAGAGTACAGAATGAGTTGACCGATAGGTTATGTCAGAATAAACTCATTTAATATTGTGATAGATTTACTAGGCTTTCAGATCAGGAACTAGGATAGTTTTAGCATATTCTGATTTCAAAGTAGCTCATGAAAGTCTCAAAAACCCCCAATTCCTTCTCATATTCATCATTAAAGTTCCACATGTATATTTAGTCTTTTCTATAAAGTCTTCTCTAATCCCAGCACGTACGAGGGTAATCCTTTGTCACTAACTTCCATTTGATTTTTAATTTATCTTTCTTTCTTACTAGACTGTATACAGGAGAAAAGGACTGACCACATTCTATTCACAGTTAATTCCTATATGCTTCTTTGACACACAGAAGGTGTTCAAGGTATGTTTGTTGAAAGATTATAAATGAGTGATAACCTTGGAAATAAGACGGAGTATTATGAGCTTGATAATAATGATGTTTAGTTAGTTTATAACTGATCCAACATCCCAATGCAAAGAAATCATGGCTGAGAAATCACCAAGAATAAGAGTGAGGCCCTTCTCATTCTAGCACTTTACTCCACATAGTTACGCTCCCCTGTATAACTCTGTGGATGTCACACTCCTCTCACTTCTGGAGTTTCACATCAACAAATGGCATTAGCCAGAGCCTGAATGACCATTAACAGCAACAACAACTAATTGCCATCAAGCTGGAGCTGACCCACAGCTGACCCTCCAGCAGGTTTTCAGAGGCTGTAAATCACATGGGAGTAGACTGTCCATCTTTCTCCTCCAAAGCAGTTGAGGGGTTCGTACTGTCTGCCTTTGAGTTGGCAGTGTAACACCTTGCCACTAGGCCACCAGAGTTTCAGTTTCTAGTCATAAAGAGAGGTCACATATGCCACTATTTTATATTTAATGGCTATTAACCACAAACTGGTCTACATCAGAAGTTCATGATTCTATAGGGAAAAAAAACAACAAAACTCAGCTTAGATGTACCCCAAAATCAAACTTAAACTCAGCACATTAGCATAAAATTGATAATATGAACAAGTAATTAGTAACATTTCCCCAGTTTGTTTAGGACAGGGCTATGCTGTTAAAAGATATACTGGGTGGCCCAAAGTCTCTCAGAAAAAGGTGGAATAAATTTGAGTCAATAGTATCTTTTTGCTTCAGTAAAGCTCTGTGCAATGACATTCACTCAGCAAATATTTATTGGGTCATTAATGTATGCAAGGCTGTGTGCAAGGTGGTGTGCAAGGCCCAGGAAGCCATGCAACACAAATGACTACCCCATCCATGCCTCTCATGATATTTTATTGATTTACTGTCAGAGCTTTTCACACTCCATTAGGAAACAAACAAACAAAAACATCCAATTACTAAGTCATTAGTACTTCATTTGAAAATAGGAGATCAGAATACAGAACAGAGATTAGAAGCGCCCTCAGAGACCCAGCACAGCCCTTTTACTCCACAGATGGTAGAACAGACCCATGTCGAAAAGAACAAGGGGCCCCTCTGTAGGTGCTGACACAGAAAAATATGCAAGGTATTAGTGAAGTCACAGAAGCAAGCTGAAGGACATCCAGCACAGCAAAGACCCATTGTTAGAAAACAAGTTCTGTTCTTGAAAACTCAAACGCATTGCTGTTGATTTGGAATCAAGTCTTAGTAGACTGTCCATTTGGTCTCTTGGGTTGTAAGCCTTATGGGAGAAGATTGCTCAGCTTTCTCCTAGGCAGCTACTGATGAACTGGAACCACCAGAGAGGTTTGACTGTCAAATTAGTAGTACAACTTTTGATGAGGCAAGCAGAGCTATGTAGGAAGGGGAAAGAAGGAATAGAACATGGGCTGGGGACTATTTGATGACTAGAGAAATTTTCCCTTTTGGTTTTATGAATTCCTATAATGACTGCCTTTTGTATAACTTTATATCGTGTTGTAATCAGAATTGTTGTTAGAGGCTGTAAAGTCAATTTGACTCTAGGCAAGCCCATGAGTAAACAGAACTGCTTCCTAGTCTTTCATGACCACCCTAAGAGTTCAGTTGGCCAAGCTTTTGGTCAGTAGTCAAGTTCTCAACCATGTGTATGCCCCTGAGTTCCATAATTAAAATGTATATATTTGTCTGTATTTATTCATTTAGAAAACTTTCTATAAATGAAATTTGGAGCCTTGTGGGTTATGAAGTCAGATTGACTTCTCACTCCACTCGGAATGCCATTTTCAACTACTTACAGTGAAAGCTTGACCAAATTCTGCGACCTCCCTGAGCCAGGGTCTGTGAAATGGAGATAATAACGATACGAGTCACCGCAGGCTCGTGTGAAAGTCTGAGAATACAGACACTTCGTGACATAGTTAACACATGGGCAGCAGTGCCATTGGCAACATCAATGATGGTATTAATATTGCGGTATTAATAACTCTACTCCTAGAAGTCAAGTCTGATCAAGAACTCATGTTCCCTGGCTTTCAGCACTTTGAGATTCTGTCACAGCTCATTGCTTTTTTTTTTTTTTCTCCCCAGGGAAAGATTTCGTTAGGCAAATGAAAACAAAAACTAAAATCAAACAAAGAAAACCCCAACAACAATTGAGTTTGAGGTGATAGCAGTGGCCTTTTTTTATGAGTGAAGAAAACTGGTGACCAATTTTCAAATATGACTCTGTTTCTAAGGAGCCACCCTTCATGACCAAAAGTTATTTTTTGTTATCTGTTAATTTTCTAGTAATTGCCATCATATGATATTAGACCTTTAGGAAGACAGCCAAGAACATAGTTTATAGAAATTAATATTCTCATCCTTGATGATCAACGATTTAAAAAAATAAAACAAAAAAAGTCTTTTTTAAAAATAGAATCAGAAAATACACATCCCTTCTCTAAGTATTTCTGAAGTAGGTCATAGGCTTGTCAAGGCTTGTTCAAGGAAGGAGGGTGGTACATTGGTTAAAATTCTCAGCTGGATATGCAAGAGTCAGCAGTTTGAACCCACTCGAAAGATGTCACAGTGGGCTTTTCATAAAAATGGCCAGGTTTAAGCACGCTGCAGGGCAGAATTGGCCTACCAGTGACGGTAGGTCAGGAAAGAGGTGTTATATTAGTTCTCTCTGACTAATACCTCCCCTTAGTAGAAGAAAAAAGGTTTGGGTTTTCCATGGAGGTGGGGCTTCTTGTATGCACTAAACCAACATCAAGAAACATTCTGAGAGACAGGCTAGCTAAAGAAAACCTTCTGAGGTGATCTTCATTTCAGATACTCACAGTATGATTTCCATATTGGAGGCTGGTACTCTTCAGCATCTAGAATAAAAAAAAGAGAACAATCCATCAGCCTAAACATCAAACTGTCAACATGGGTCTTCTCTGGAAGAACAACAGCCTGTCAGCAGCACTCGAATCCCATCCCAGGGGGCTCTGCTTATGGATGGGACAGCTCTGGGCATGGGCGGAAGGGAGATGCAGCATACTTTCAGTCTCCCTTACTGTGACAGAATCAATTGCTTAACCATTTTCATAGAGCCCACTAAATCAGAAAAGAATTTTTAAAGCAATTAACTTGATTGTGCCCTCCAGTAATCCTTTCAAACACTATTTACTTAATTTAGCATAATAAACACATAATTTATCTTACAGTTTCCAATCAGACCTTTCCCCCATTTATTAAGGCTTGAGGGCTAGATACAAAGTGGCAAGTCGGCAATATTAATTCCGGAAAGTTGTGCAAGTTAACCAACTCAGCTCCTACAGTAATAGGTCTGGCAGCAGGGACACTGACAATGCAACTGGAATCCTATTACCTCCTTGAATTTATTCCAATGTGTAAGTTAGGAAATTTCTAGAAAACCTCCCAGCACTCAGAAGGGTCAGAGTGGAAGAGTTGTAACAAAATGCAGAGGATGAAAAGGTTATTAATCAGTCTAGAAAACAGACAGTGGGGAAAGTTCATTTGTTCAGTTGACTCAACAGTCTCTGAGCTTACAGATGATTTTGTAATTCTGGCAGAGTTATCACACTCTCCTGAGCCATACGGGCTGGGAAAACGTCCTCGACCTTAAACAGCCACAGGGACCATCCTCGTCCTTAAATCATGGAATGTTCAGGTGAAGGGAAATTAAGTGTTCTTCAGTAAAGGAACTGTTGATAGCATGCTCAGCTATTAACCACAAGGTGGAGGGTTCCAATCTACAGAGAGGTGACTTAGAAGAAAGGACTAAGGATCTATTTCTATTATCAACCAATGAAAATCCACTCTGACAGTCTACTATCTACAGTCTAACCTGACACAATAGAGTCAGGATCAACCTAACAACAACAATAAATAGGTAAGAAAATTGTAGGGGGCGGGGCCTTACACTCCCTGTAGCATCATCTGGCCTCTTCCTAGAACTGCTAGTATCCTTATGCTTATTTTATGCTTGAAGGAATAGAACTAAACCTCACTCACTAAGATCAGTTAGTCAACTTGGGAGACTTCTTTTCTCCTTCTTCAGAAACAAGTAGGTTAGTTATAAATGAAAATCAACTCAAGTGGTGAACTTGTCCAAATCTTGCTCAATAACATTTGTGCTGCTTACAATACGTTCTTTCACAACTAATGTCTTGCTTTCTAGGCCCCTCTTTGTCAGAGTGTGCAACCAAATGTCTGCAAAAGTAGTTTTATAGAAATGAATCTGCATCTTCAGGCTTCAGAACTCAAACTCATTACCGTCAAGTCAGAAGTGACTCACAGTTGACCCTCCCTTGAATTCCTGAGGCTGTAAATCACCCTGGAGGAGACTGTTCATCTTTGTCCTGGAGCTGCTGGTAGGTTTGAACCACCAGAGAGCCATGGCCTGTGGGCTACAGTGCAATGGCCTGTGGACTGCTACCAGAGCTCCCTTTCACCCTGTTTAGGATTTCACATATGAATAATCTTTCACAATAGCACACAACCAAAGGCTCTGCAGCAGGGATGCCTTTATGCAGTCATTTAAACAGAACCTGGAGAGTACATGTAGGTCACCAACTCTTAATACTTTTATCAGACTAAGAAATCCTTTCTTTTAGTAAACTTTTAATTCATCAAGTAACATATTTCATTTTATGTGTGATACAGACCTACTTAAGTGGGTTTAATAGGCTTGTTGTTGACAAAAGAACATTCAAGTAAAATAAAGCAAGTTGCTGAATTTACAAAACAATTTTACAACCATCCATACAATGCCCTCTTACCAGAAAAGCTAGGCTCTGTGGGTTAGTTTTGATGATACTTTCACAATCAGTTTTTTTAAAGATTCTCACACACACACACACACACACACACACACACACACACACACACACACGCCTGGCAGCACAGAAATGTAAACTGTTGTGATATCACCTACCAGAGTCTCTAATGCCTTGCTTTTTTGCATAAAATGCAATTTATGAGGCAGGCACAGCTCACATAACAAGGTGTGGCCAGGGATGTTTATCACACACTGAGGGAAGGTGATCAGAGGGATGAGGTCCTCCTTTTTGCAGGTCTTTAAAAATAGTCCAGATACTTTGAGCCTTCCAAACATTTTATATCATAAGTCAGAAGTTTATATTCAATGATCTCTCACTATCACTTAATCTTGCTTTTCTATGAAAAGTGTAGATTTTCTTTTACTTAATTAGCAGTGCAATCCATTTCAGACTATGCCACAAGAGTCCCTTAAATTTTTACCACATAATCTGCTTTGTGAAGCTACAATATGCAATCTATCCCTTTTAAGTTGCCCCACATCGCCATGTAACCAATTCACTGCCATGAATCAACTCTGATTCACTCAACCCTGGCGTGTCAGAGTAAAACTGTGTACTTTAGGATTTTCAGTGACTGAGCTTTTAGAAGTAGCTCACTAGACAGTTCTCCCAAAGTTCCTCTGGGTGGACTTTAACCCTCAAACTTCTAGTCAGCAGCAAGCATGCTAACTCTTTATATCACTTAGGCATTCTACCAATAAAGATGAAGAAAGTCACCAACAGAGACTAGTGATCGTATGTCTTTCTTCTGTTGCATTGGCAATAAAATTAAAAACACCTTTCTGTTGTCTCCAAGGTCCTGCTTCATCTTGTCTCTGCTACTCTGTTAACCTAAATGCACACATTTCACTCTTTCCGCGCTATCATCCAACCACACCGGCCTTTTCTCATTCCTAGAACTAGTTCTTAAAGCCCCCGCCCCGCTCCTGCCTCTGCCTTTGTGCACCCTTGGCGTAAAGTGCTCTCCACTAGATCTCTGCATGGTTGACTTGCTCCATCATGTCGGGCTCCATCAGATGTCACCTCCCAGGGCCTGCCCTGCCAGCCCTGCATAAAGTAGCCTTCCCTCGGTCCCAGTCACTCAACAGACTGCTTATTTTTCTTCATAACACTTACTCGCTTCTGACATTATTTATTGATTTGTTGACTTGTTGTTATTGGTCTCCTCCCATCTATCAGCCACACTCCATAAAAGCAGGAATTTTGCCTCATCCACCTCTGTGGCAGCAGCCCTTGAGAAGAACAGCAGATACATAACAGGCATTCAAAAAGTGTGTAAAATAAGCTAATATAGTCCCAGGGTTAAAACAACCCCTCTGACGGTTACTAGCTGAAGAAACTGAGACTGTTTACTTAAACTTCTCTTAAGAGTGTCACAATAGTTACCTTTGTAAAGAAGAAGTAATGAAAAGTTCTAGCTTATAAGGGGCTCTGGTGGCTTAGAGGTAAGGAGTTATACTATCCATCTAAAGATAAGTGGTTCAAATCTACCAGCTGCACTTTGGAAGAAGGATGAACAATCTCCTCCATTACAAGTTATAGCCTCTGAAAACCCACAGGAGGGTCAACCATGAATTGGTTCCAACTTGATGGCACATTACAACAAGAAAAATAGTTAATAGCCTAGTTCTTAGGATTACTGCAGGAATTAGATGCAATGATATATATGAAGTCCTAGAGACAGACCCTGGAAAACAGCAAACCCTCAGTTAATGCTCTGGGCAGTGCAAACAGCAAGCTCAGCTGTTAATGGGGAAAAGGTGGGGGTCTGGGCTCATGCAGAGACTCCTCTAAGGAAAAGCCTGGTGATCTATTTAAAATAAAACAATCGGCCATTGAAAACCCTCTGGAGCAGAGCTGCACTGTGACACACATGGCACATCCCTGAGCTGGAGTCCCTGGCACGTGGTGGCTGCAATTGTGTTGCTGTCACGGTTACATCCTCCGGTCTTGGTTCTTCCCCAGGTGGGTTTTTGCCCTTGTCTTCTCTCCCTTGACTGCAGCCAATGACAATCAGTATTCTTACCCTCAAGGTCTGGAGCCTGTAATTAAGTTCTAGTGCTCTTGTCACTGATGGTTTTTTCCTTTTCCATAAAGGCATTCAAAGTGAGAGGCCATTTGTCATGCTTCAGTGGAACAACTATAATTACCAAAGTCTAAGAGACACATTTCACAATCTGCTCTTGCACACTGTTAGGAACCCTCGATCAAGTGGCCAGACACAAAATACATCTTACATGCAGAAACAAATCTTTAGCTTCCTCTAGCACCCTCAATTAAGACACACACTAATTGCCCTAATTTCATACAGTATTTTTCAAAGGTCTATTTCACTTGTAGATGGACTGACACTTAAAAATATAAAATAAAATTCCATGGTCATTTAGTAGTCTGCCCTCCTCATTTGGAAAATGAAACAGAGAACAATTATGTGACTTCTTCAAAGTCAAGTGAGGCAGCAAGGTTAGAGGGCAGAGCTCTAAATGTCTTTGATGCATCTTTTATGCATTCCAGGCAGTCCCTCTCTTATGGATTGACTTGTGTCCTTCCTAATAGAGGTGTTGGAATGCTACCATGGGCTGCTAGAAGAGCAAACCAATCTATCTTGGAGGAAGTGCAAAGTGGGCGCTCCTGAGAAGTAAGGATGGTGAAATTTCTCTCATATACTTTAGGCATCTTATCAGGAGGTATAAGTCCTCGTAAAAAAATATTGTGTTTAGAAAAGTCAATGACTAAGAGGAAGATCCTTAACCAGATGGATTGGTACAGTGACTAAACAATGGACTTGACTACTGTAGAAATCATGGGTAAGGTGTAGCAGAGGGCAAAGTTCCTGTCTGTTGCTCACAGCATCACTCTAAGTTGTAGTTGACTCTGTGGCACCTCATGACAGCACACTCATGGTTGTACCGTAATGCAGTTTGCCATAATATAATGTACTGGCTTTCCATAATGTAATGCAATGCTATGTTCAAAAGGGCATACCAGTATAGGGTGTGTCCAAAACCTAACCACTACTGAGTTATAGA